GACGTTGTGCTTAATCCGGGTGGGGCTAAATATTCCCCCTACTAACCCTAACACTAACCAAAACCTTAGCCAACACCCTAATCGTAAACCAAACTCTAACCCGTACACCAGCCTTAACTCTAATAATGACTTAACGCTCAGGATTATTTACCTGGAATTTAACGCAGTCACCTGTATTACGGGCGTTTGCCACTCAAGTGTTCTGCCACGTGAGCTATATAAGTAAGGCTGGAACTTTGCGCAAGGCTACCTGCATTATGGTGAAGGCGTTCTTATATCCGTGGCCTGTCGGAGGTGTACGGAAAAGCAATTCCTACCAAATGATGTTATTATCCGTCGATGGTTCAGTATTCCAATCTTCATCCAGCATTGATATTTAAAAGAAAAGTCATTCCGAGCAGATACCTATCAGCATGGTCAAGTATATTTCACTGGCATACATTATCTCTATGCGAGGGGTCACCGATTTCCACACAACGCAGAGGAAGCAGAACTTTCTAGAACCCGCGTGGCTGCTAAGCCCGATTATGATCCAGTTGATTATCAGAAATTAATGTGTGCTCTATCCAACGGTGAGACGGTTTATTAATCAGTCTGGCAAGAACCCAGTGGCAATGTTTGGAAAGCTTGACTAGGTTAATATTGTGACAAACATCCTATATATTTTTTTGCATTCTCTCATAGGAAGACTGATAAACATCCTGCCGCCTGCGGCCGGCGACAACCGATGCACTACTCCCCCTGGTTGTCTCTACGGAGCAATGCGCAGGGACCTTAAGCGCAATGCTAATGATGCCATGAATTGTTACCTCAATTTCCAGCACGCAACACACCCCGTCATGTTTATGGAATATGGAGCCTATGTGCTTAACATGTCAATTCCCTTTGCCATACCGCACTACGAGGAGATGGGACGCGGTCTTCTGATAGCTGCCTTGGATATGTGGTGTACTAACCCCTGGTCCCGGCTTTCCAATTGCCCCTGCACAGACATGCTCAAACTTAAGCCTGGAACACATAAGAGCCTGAGAGCATTGACATCACCGCAGAATAGCAGCAACAAGTATCCCTTGTCGGGTCAAAAACTTCGGATGGCTGAAAGCGTCAATTACAAGGTGGGTTCAGATGTGTTTGAAAGACCGTCAAATAAGTCCTGCTTAAGGTAAAACTGGAGTAAATCTCTTGCGTCCCTCAATAATTACCCGTACTCTCTTATACCTTCCTCTCCACCGTCTTATTTTTATGTGACAGATCGATCAGGGAGTTGCGTCATCACGGAAATTTTTCGTGATTTTTGAGAATGTTTAGCGTATGGCAGCCCCAGAGAGACATGGGCAGTTTGGGGGGTTGATTATTGCGCCAAAATACTCAACTGCACGGGACCGTCACTCCCCTTTTGACTTTATCTAACATCCAGCTCTCACATTTGGTTCTACATAGCCGTGCTGAACGCAGCAGCCGTACCCCCTTTAAACTCTTAAACTGGCACCCAAGACCAGGCAGTTGGGGGTAGCAGTGTAGTTGGGTGAACAGAAAAGCACGCGAAACTGCCATTATTGTGTATTATGCGACTGCTGGTAATAGGAATTGTACAGTTTGGACATTACAAAGGAAAGAAACAGTTGCTAAAAGTAGAGCGTATAAAAGTAGAACAAATACGAAAAATTATTTAAATAGACTGATTTTTGGCAACAGAAAAGCGCGCTATAAATAGAGAAATACGACCAATAGGAAACAAGAATTCCGCGAAATCTGTACTAGGGAACTGTCCGAATTTGCAAACCAACACAAGGAACTACGAATTTTCGAGATGAAAGTAAAGCAAAAAATAAATTAAAAAGAGCCAAAACTGAAAACTAAACTTAAACTGAAGTAAAATAACTAAAGAAAAGTAAACTGAAGGAAGTTAAAATAAACTGAAACATTGTCTAAAACTAAAAACTTAACTAAGGCTTAACAGAAAATTAATGTAAACTGTAAGTAAAATAATTGAGCTACGCCAAAAAAACTAGTAAAGATTTTAACCCGAAAAGCAGCCGCATATCGCTAATAAATCACAAAATAAGCTAATAAATTATCTAAAACTTAAGCAAACTAAAATACAATAAACTAACTAAACTAAAAAGGAATCTTAAACTAAAATTAAACCAAGAAACTTAATGATAATCATAAAACTAAACTAAATCTAAAAATAAAAATGAAATAAACTATAAGTAAGTTCTTTGAACTAAACTAACTGAACTAAGATAAAGTAAAAAAGTAAAGACTTCCAGGAGGTTCAATGGTAGATGTGGATGGGTTGCATCTGCTGGGAAACAAGCCATATTAAAGTAGTAAAACAAAGCATGCCTATTACTATGCACGAAGTAGACAGTTGTGCAAAATAAGCGTCCCGATCACTAAACTAGACTGTTATCTTCCGAGTACTATAAGCGTCAAGCCAATTTGCGACTTGCCTGAAAAAAACAGAAGGCCCAAAAAGATTAATTTAGTGAATAGAAGCAAATATGTGTGCCCCAGGTTCTTGTTGTAAGGAAGAGGAGGACATGATCTCTGGAATTATAGTTTTATCCTGAGCTTTCGGCTCCACACGAGAAGCTATCGTCAGAGAAAGTGAGAAAACAGCAAGCGCTGGCTACGCGTAAATGGGGTTGGTAGGGGGGTAGCAATTTGTGATTGGTCCATGTCCACGCCACGTCCATTCTCATGTCATTCTTATCGTGTGTCTCCTGCACGCGTCCCTGGAGTTACGGCGTGTGACCTTGATTTGGCAGCCTGAATGCTTGTAGAGGAACTGGGCTCTGGTTTCTGGTCACGGACACGGATGGCAAAATAACAGGACGGTATATCCACATGCCTGTTTATGGAGTTAGGATCTGACACCCAGGCTTCCAGCAGTTCGCGCCCCGTCTTATTACTGGCTCGTGCCATTATCCGTGTGTTCGAGAAGTCGGATTCGTGGCCCTCTTCCAGAGTGTGTGTGGCGATCTGGGACAGTTGGTCGCCTCTCCGCACTGCCCGTTTTTGCTCCGACGTAAGTCGTCGCCCGGTCTGCCCTGTATAATAGCAAGAACAGTCACGACTTGCCACTTGATAAACGACGCCAGACTGTTCACCTACCTCCATTGGGTCTTTTATTTACAGGAAATGGGAGCGCATGTTAGCTGACGGAAGATAAGCCATACCCAAGCCGAGCTCTGCAGCGATACGTTTGGTTGCTTCTGACTCATTTTTTATGTACGGTAGAGGATGCCAGAACTTTGGTGGCTCCTTTTCGTTTGTTCCTCATGGGCGCGTACGGAGGCAGCGGCTGATGAAGCCGTTCGGGTATCCATTTCTGGCCAGTTGGTCCCGAAGATGTCGTAGTTCTTGCATTCGTCCCTCCGGTTCACTTCAGTTTGTCTTCACCCTCTGAAAGAGTGCTCTAATACAGCCAAGTTTATGCGCTATTGGGTGGTTGCAATGGCAGCTAGGCGCCTGGGTGGTGTTAGTAGCCTTTCTATAAACGGTGGTGCTGAGTTCCTCGTTGGGTCTGCGCTTGACGAGGACATTCAGGAACGATAGTTGTTCGACACTCCCTTCCTCCTTTGTGAATTGGATGTCGGGGAAGATACCGTTAAGCAGCCTCCTATCCTGCTCCATTCGATTATAACAAAAGTGCCCTCCACGTATCGGCACCAGAATGCAGTTTCAAATTGGTCGAAGGCGACTCTTTCCAGCTCCTGTAAGACCAATTAGACCAACGCTTGCTGTTTTCTCATTTTCTCTGACGATGGCTTCTCGTGTGGGGCCGAAAGCTCAGAATAAAACTATCGTTCCAGAGATCGTGTCTTCCTCTTCTTTACAGAAGAATTTAACATTTGCAGCACTCCTAGTTGCTGTCCCAGGCAGCAGTGGTCACTAACCAAGTCAGGGCTAGTGTTGATTGCGTTCGGTCA